CCTGTCAGCTGCCTGAGAGGCTGGAGCTTAATTTCTAGATGGCCCCTGATTGTAGGGCTAGGTCCACTTTGGAATCTGTGCCTCCATTCAAACAGAGAATGACCCAGCAGAGCAGCAGCACAGTGCTTTGGGAACGTATGAGCCCAGCAGTCTTTGAGTCTTGGCCCACAAATGTCATATGGAAAGTTGAAAGCCATCTTCTCCTGCTTTCTGTGCAGGTGCTTCTAGAGGGAGAGCAGGAGCAGACTGCTTCATCAGAGATGCCATGCCAGACTCAGGGAGAGCTGTTCCCAGCCCGAGAGCAGGAAGAGCAGCTCAGGCAGCAGATGGAAGAGGCACAGGAGAATGGCCAGGTAAGCCTGACTGGCCAGGTGACAGAAGAAAGGGCAGGAAGAGGGGCATAAACCAGAGCTCTTGGGACTGAGGAGGCCAGGAGTCCCACAGGCACTGGAAGCACAGAGCCTTGGAATCTGCAGAGATCAGCCCTGGGACAGGAGGGTTACATTGGAAGCAGATGTGGGGAGGGAAGCAGAAAGAAGTGGCTGCATAAATGTGATTTTGAGGCTGCAAGAGGAAAAAGCTGAGCCTGATGGCAGCTCCCAGTCACTTGCTCTGCATTTGTGTGCACAGAACATCAAGGCAGAGCCACAAGCAGAGCTGCCCCAAGCTCAGAGTGCCATCATGACAGTGAAGAGGAGGAACAAGGAAGACATGGGAAGAATTCAAGAGGAGAATCTCCATCAGCAGAGGGGCGATCAACAAAACCAGGTGAATGAAAGAGTGGCAGCCACTCCACTCATGAAATGCCCTCTCCCTTCTTGTTTCCAGTCTATCAAGGGACACGTGCAGGCAGAGCTGCAGGACTCTGAGGCTACCAACAAGGCAAGAGAGAAGAGGCTGGAGGAAGAAATGAAAAGCGTCAGAGAGAAACTTAATTGCCTCCCTCAGGCTCTAGAAGACCAAGTGAGTAAAAGAGGGATGCAGTCACTGCAGTCACCAAACTGGTGGTTTCTGCCCTTCTTGCCTTTGACACTGCAGAGCAGCAGGGAGTGGGGCCATGCCTCTGAGTGCCATCCTGCTGTAGTGGGTATCACAGTCACTCTGAAGGACATTTCCTGTTGTGCGGAGTCTTAACTGCTGCCCTGGACAATGAAACTCGTCCTTTGGCCTTTTGGCCAGCAGTCATCCAAATTGATTCCTGCTGGCCTGTTCCTGCTCTCTCCTTCTTTCTTGAGGTGTTTTTACAGTAGAACGTGGTGATCCAGATGGAGGATTGAAACAAGCTGTCTGTATCCCTTGTCAATCTGTTCTCTGCCTTTCCTCACAGTCAATGACTCCTGGCTGACAGGGACAAGCTGTAGTGTCTGACTGCTTTGTTCTGTTTCATTTGAGGTGCAAGTGCTGACATCTCACCAGGCAGCCTGTGAAGACTTCCAGCGAATATCTGGCAATGAAGGACCCCAAGTCAGGAGTGAGGCACAGGAACAGTGTCCACCAGAAGTGCTCCAGGTCCAGCACATCATGGGCTCTGAACCTGCTGTCGCAGCAGCATCACCTCGAGGAAGCTCTTCTCTCAAACCAGGGAACTCGAGCTCGGGCAGTTCCTTAAACTCTCCAAAACAGCAGACCGAGGAGAAGTACCTGGAGATGCTGGGTATGTCTGGGGTGTTGCTTGTCTGAGGGACAGTGTGTTGTGTGCAGGTGTCAGCAGAGCTGTACCAAATGCTCCTCCTGAGTTGAGTGTCACGGGGCCATTTCGGACTCCCCAGAGGAAGTGCTGGCATTGCTCCGAGGCAGCAAGAGAGCGCTCTGGGTGTTCCTGCTGCCTCTGAGGGCACCTTGGACTGGCTTGGGTTTGCCTGAGCTTCCCTCTCTGCTAAAGGCTGAAGCAGGGATTGTTCTTGGATCAGCAGAAGCCTGTGATCTTGCAAATGATCTAGGCGAGTCCTGTGTGCTCATGGCCAAACTGCACAGAATTTTCAGCTTCCTAAATTCTCCTTAGACTCCTGACTTCCAACCAGTCATCAGAGCAAAACAACTTCACAGAAATGGATTGGCTTTGGAGTTTTGTCTTTTTGGTTGGGGATTTTTTTTGTGGTGGGGGGGGTGTTTTTGTGTTTAATTTTTGTAGGGGCCTTTTGTTTTTTGTTTCTGTGGGGTTTATTTGTTGTGTTTTACGTTTTTTTTGTTTTGATGGTTTATGGGGCTTTTTTGGTGGAGTTGGTTTTTCTCCAGCCTGAAAGAGCCCTTCTGTCCCCAATCTTACTGATGGCATTTTTATGACTGTTACTGTTACCACTGATTTTGTGTTGCTGCAGTTTATTTTCATGAGAATGCTATCTTTTTGTCAATATGATCTACTTTGAAAGAACATTAGGTTACATGACAAATTGAGAGCAGGAAGTGTTTTCCATGTGCCCCCAAAGAAAAACTCAACACTTTTCTAACAACTTTTATTTAATCTTCTAGTTTTATGCTTATCAAGATGTGTCCAAGAGACACATCCAAGTGGCATGATCAGATAAAACTGTACTGCAGGCACTTGTCAGGAGAGAGCCTCCAGCCCAGCCATGGTATATTCCTCAGATCCATGGCACTTTTCCATACCTGATTCCCACTCTTTCCCATGACTGTTAGAATCCTAGCCATTGGCCCAAGCCCTGCTCAGATCAGTCTCTAGGAAAACACATCAAGCCCTTTGTGATTCTGCAGCACAACCCAATGAATCTGCCTCTTGCCCGTAACAGCTGCCAGTGCTGTGCTCTCAGATAAGACCTGGTGGGGCTGAGACCAGAGCCCAGGGGATTCTGTGTCTACCATCACCTGTTGGGACAAAAAGGGCACTGATCCGCACCTTGGTGTGGCTGATCTCAAGGCCCATCCTCTTGTGTCCTGAATGGGGGCAACAGCTTGTACAGGGCTCAGGCTGGCTGTGGCTTCTTCCCACTGCTTGTCAGTGCTCATGCTTGGGCTTTGCCAGCCTTGTTGTGCTAGCTGCCCTGTCCCTGAGGGCTGGAGGGGACTGCAGAGGCTGGAGCCTTCCCTAGCTGGGAGAGGGGCATCTTGGAGCTCAGCCTGCTCATAAAGAGGTCAGAGTCCTGATGCTGAAAGCCCCATTGGGATTGGTTATAGTTTGAGCTGCCCTGGTTTGGCAAACTGCTGAAAGGTGGGGAAGATGTCTTTCTCTCCTGGAATTGCATCTCCCCGTGCTTTGTTTCCTGTCAAGAGAACTCTTCAAGGGACTGTACAAAATTAGTCTCTGTGCCAGCCATCTGCACTGCACGGCTGCCTGTCCTGTTGCTGTTCTGGTTGTTGTTACCGAGCTGACCACAAAGGGCTGAGAGCCCCAGACAGTGGGGCTGCCTTTTGTATCTCCTGGAAGCTGGGATCTCTGCTTTAAAGTCAGCTAATGCATTTTATTTCCCTCAGGGAGAATGGTGAACCAGATACATCCCATGATAAAATACACCGAACTGGGGCATATTGGCAGCGGGTGAGTCCAACCACAGTCACTTCTACTGAACCACAGGCCAGGTGTTTTGCTGGTGGAATATCTATCCAGTGTGAAGTCCGGCCAGCTGCAAAGATGTTCACACACTGGGGACAGATTGTCCCATCTATCAGTGGTGCTCAGAATTTCTGAGTGGGCTCAGAAGGCATCGTCAGAGATACTTCCATGCTGCCAAGGTCTTGCCTGCATCAAGGAACAGGACCTGGAAGATCTCCTTGTCTCTCAAGTGTGGGATAGCTCTGTGTTAATTTCTTTAGCATTTTTTGTATGTCTCAAAATCATACTGGCACACTAATGAAAAGAGAAGAATCTTGCTTGCCTGAAAGAGCAACCTACCCGATCAAAGCTTTAAGATAACAGTTCCCAGGAACATTTATTTCCCCTGGTTTGCAGAAGGAAATACTCTGTGGTCAGGATAGGAACCACACAGTTTAGAAAGTGAAACCCAAGACAAAAGAAGAATCTCTCTTTAGAAGTTGAACCCCAACGCTTCAGGAACAAGTCCAGTGCCCATGCACTTGAGAGGAAAATGCATCATCTGCTTTCTGGCAGAGCCCTCCTGCATCCTGCAGGCTTTAGGCATTTACAGCACACATCTCCTGTGTGGACTGGCTTTCACTGAAAGATCTAAATGGCTTCTCATTTCTCTTCTTCTTTTTTGTTTCTAGGGGTTTTGGAGATGTGGTCAGAGCACTCAACAATGCCACAGGGAGAGAGGTAAATGTCAACAGCCCCTGCAGACTCTGCTGCTCTTGAGGGGCTTTCCCCTCTGGTGCGGGCTGTGGCTGGAGCTTTGGGTAGAGTTGTGCTGAAAAGGGACAAGAAGCACAAACTGGTTCCTGCCTGCAAAATACATTTGGGACTTTGTCCTCCTCAGCTGCCAGAAGGAAGGCACGGAGGGCAGCGATTCCTTTCAGAGAAGGACGTGCTCACTCGCTCTCCATTGCTAAAACAGAGGTGGTGCCTTAGAGCACCTCACTGCTCTTTGCGGCTACAGCTTCAGAGTCCTGAATTCTCCTTTCTGACTGTCAGCAAATCCATCTGAAAGTTACTGGCAGTTCCTTAGCCACCTGCAGTGCTGCACTTGGGAACTGCACGTAGGGAGAGATCTGCAAGGTGCCCTAAAAGCCCTAAGCCCTGCCCATAGCCCAAGATGTATCCACACAGTAATAAGGCATGCATTACTTCTGAATCCCAAACAAAGCAGCAGAGAGTGTGGTTAGAGGTTTGTCGGTGGTAGCTGAGACATCACTGTTACCAAGTGGACAAGGCAAAATGCCAGCGGCCCCACGTATCCTCTAACTGGCCCCCAAGGGAGCAGAGAAATGGGCTGTTGGAAATGTCAGTTCCTAATTACTGCAGTGCCGAATCACAAGGCAGTTCGGCACAGCTCAGCTGTGTCATTGCAAAATCACTCTCTCCATGTGTGTTGTAGTCTCGTGCCACCAACTGCTCAAGTTACTCATTTTCAATGTCATTTTAGGTGGCCATAAAAAAAATAAATCTTCAAGGACTGAGGAGGAAGGAACTAACCATTAATGAAATAAGGATCATGGAGAGGTGTAGGAGTCCCAATGTTGTGAAATATTTAGACAGGTGAGAAGTCATGGTGTTATCCCATGGATGTGCATTTACATACAGCAAACATGAGAGGTTAAAAACCTACTTGGGTTAGTGGCAGAAAGTAGAGCTGTTAATTTTTATGTATTCATATTTCTTTACTCATCTCCAATGGATGAGAAGAGAGTGCATCTTATCTGCATGAGTTTTCCCTGCCACTCGTCGTTTGAAAATTATTCCAAACTTATTCAAAACCTGGATCAGCTGTATCTTCCTAAGTCAATACACTCAAAGTCCACTGCCTCTACATTTTTTTGGGAGGAATTTTAAAGACTCTTAAATGCTGATGAACCACCCTAAAGTAGATTTCTCTTAGATTGTTGCCCCTCTTTGCCATTGCTGTGCATGCCAGGAATACTATGTGCTTATTTCCAGAAACACCATGCCTGACAGGATTTTTATCTGGGCTGTTGCTAAACTGCATTTTTCACTTGCTGGCCATCTAAGACATCTCCTATTTCACAGCTGTGCCTTTCTCCTCCAGACTGCACAGTCTGCAGATTCTCTATTCCTTTGATTCTGTCCTAGTCACAGAGCAACCTGGAAACAAGAAAATGGCAAGTAAAAAGTTAAGGTAGCCATGCATTTTTATCTCCATGCCCTTGTTTCCTTCTTTCAGCTACCTTGTGGGCGAGGAACTCTGGCTGGTTATGGAGTACATGGATGGAGGCGCTCTGAGTGATATCATCTACAAGACCTGCCTGTCTGAACATCACATTGCATCCATCAGTCGGGAGGTCAGCAATTCCATCTGTGTTTCCAAGGGCTTGGGCAGGATTGTCTGGGAAACAGGGGCTCAGATCAGGAGTGATTTCATGTGCCAAGCTTGGTTTCTGTGTGACTGGTATGCTATGGGCAAGTAAAAGCATCTCAAGTGAAAGGCCTGCCAGTGCCCCTGCACTCCCTGTACTCAGTGCCAGTACTCTTCTCTCCAGCTGTTGTACTCTCGCTCTGTCTCTTGTATTTGCTGTTCTCCATCTTGCTTCCCTAAACTTTTGCCTGTCTTCACTGCATCCCTTTCCGGTGAAAGCAAAGGTGCTGGTGGCAGGATTTGAAACAAACAGCAAAGAAAAAAAAGAGAGACTCGTTTCTCTCAGTCCTCAGCTAAAAAGGACAGGAGTGCAGCCAAAATGCTCTTTGCTTCTGAGCAATATCCACTGCAGCAGCAGTCATCCCGGCTGGTTTGCAGGGGACAAAGAGCAGGTGCTGTTGCTCTTTCAAAAGCTGACATGCCTTTCCTCAGAAAGGTCCTGCTCTGCAAGTGTTGGAGCAGCAAACTCGTCCTCACAGTGGCACTGTGTTCTGACATTACTGCCCATTCCCCTGCAGAGGGAATCTTTTAGATTCTTTGTTGCCTTTCTTGTGTGCTGAAATCACAACACTTTTTGCCCTCCTCTTTCTGTTTTCTCTCTCAGTGCCTGCAAGGACTGCATTTTCTTCACTCAAACCATGTGATCCATCGAGATGTGAAGAGCGACAACATCCTTCTCAGAACCGACGGTTCTGTCAAGCTGAGTCAGTATATTCTTGGTCAGGTGCAGCATTCCAGGGATGTGGGTGTGGGGCTGCTTGGAGTGACAGCCAGCTCCCGAAAAATGGTGCTGGTGGCAGTGCAGGGACACCCGCTGTGAGCTGAGGGCACAGTTGCAACGTGCACAGAGGCAGGACAAGGAACAAGCAGTCAAGAGTGGCCTTGCTCTCTGTGTGCCCCTTCCAGAGGGAGGGAGCTACAAGTCTAAAGACTGCAAAGAACAAAAGCCACTGCTGGAGGCAGTGTAAAAAATGGGGATTTTTAAAGTCGCCAATGCCAGCAAACTTCTACTGGGGAATTCTTTTGCCTGCTTTCCTAATTGCACAGAATTCAAACAAAACCAATATTTTGCTTTCTCCTCAGCTGATTTTGGCCTCTCTACTCAGCTCACCCCTGAGCAGAGCAGACCGTGCTTGGTAGCTGGGACTCCGTGGTGGATGGCACCTGAAGTGGTCACAGGTCAACCATATGGCCCCAAAGTGGACATATGGTCTTTTGGAATTGTGGGGATTGAAATGGTAGAAAAAGAACCTCCTTACTGGGACCAAAGTCATACCTCGGTAAGGGGCAAATACTCACTGATCCCACTGTCTTTCTTATCTGTCCCTTGTCCTGCATGCCATTGGACAAAATCCCATGGCCATCTGCTGGAACTACTTCTACCAAGGTCCCCTCCTAAAAATGTGCCTGCAGCACATCAGCATCTGCTGTCAATTTGGATACATCAGTGGGGGAACTCAAGCCTTACACATGCAAACAAACTCCATTCTCAGGCAACACTTTCCTTTGGGTTATAAGTGATTCCAGTTCTTTTGTCTGTGGAGATGGCCCCAGTAACAGGAAACAAGCGTCTTGGAACTGCTTGTATCTTTCCAGAAATGAAGGAAGGAAACCCAAACCCAACAAAGTTTCTAAAACTTTCAAAAACTTTCAAAAGCTGTGGTCTTTAGAAAGGAACTTAACCCACTGTGCAGTTTCTTCTCACTTTGGAAACATGCCTGAAACCTTGGCATGAGAGTGTAAAGGCCACAGAGTCTCTTCTGCTTCTTCTGCAGTGCTGCTGAAACACTCAGCGACCGTGTTTCTCTCCTAGCCAAAGGCACATTCTCTGTGTCACCAAGCCAGAGCCTGGTGATGTGGAGAGCCTGCCATTTGTTTCCTGGCACTTTCTGGGATGGGCCTACCATTAATGTATTGACTTGAGTAGCCAAATGAGCAGAGGGTGACCACAGGCATGGCACCTCTCCTTCTTCTGACCATGACAGTTTTTCTTTTGCTGCAAAATGGGAAGCTGCAATTTTCAGACTGCTGAGAGACAGAGCTGCAGGTGGCTCCTTTTTGCCTAAGCAGGCATTTTCATCCCAATACATTTGTGCAGGCATCTTAATGTGTCTGTGTTGAAGATGAGATTGTAAATATTTGTTTCCTTACCTGGGGATTAACTGATGGATTTCCTTACTTTCCTTCCAATTCTCATTGTTTTCAAGAACAGCACAAAAAGCTTGATGAGTTTTGTTCTATGGCACGTGCGCTTAAAGCACCAACAAGCACTGCAGAGGTGCCTTTCATGTACTAACCCTTGGAATGAGTTTCTATAGCACAGTCCCTTTTCCAAAAAGCCTCTCAAGCCGGTTTGAATTCTCAGAGAAGCAAATGTGCTTTTGCTGATGTAGTTCCCACTAACTAGGTCAGTCAATGAAATCAGCCGCCAAGGCAAGATCTGCGGGATGGTGGAAAAGCTGTGGCTGCATCGGGGTTTGGGTTTCTGGTTGGTAAAGGAAAATTATCTCTGGGTCTCTGCCAGGGCAGAAACTACCACTGAAGAACAGAGGGTAAACAAAAGGATGTGGGAGAGCCTTAGAAACGTGAAAGCAGCAGGTGAAGCCTCATGTTTGTTTTTTTCTCCAGGCTCGACGCCTGATAGCCACAGAAGGGACCCCACAGTTGCAGCAGCCCAACCAATTCTCGCCTTGCCTGCATGACTTCCTGAGCTGCTGCCTGCAGAGAGACGAGGAGCAGCGCTGGTCTGCCAAGGAGCTCCTGCAGGTAAAATGTGAAGGGGCTGCAGGTGAAACAGGCTCTGAGGGGTGGGCTCCTCCTCCACTCAAGTCCAAGGATCAGATGAGCGCCCTTCCTCCTCACCTCCACTCCTGGAGCTCTTCAAATGAAAACACTGAGGAATCCTAGACTGGGCTGGGCTGGCAGGGCCCTGTAAAGGTCCTCTGGTGCAAGTGTCCTGCAATGAGAAGGGACATCTTTAAAGAGATCAGGTTGCTCAGAGCCCTTTGCCATCTGAGCCAGAATGGTTGCAGGGATGAGGCACCTACAAGCTCTTGGGGCAACCTGTGCCAGGGCGGCACCATGCTCCGAGTAAACAAGTTCTTCCTTAGACCTACTCTGACTTGATCCTCATTTTGTTTAAAAATATTCACCCACATCCTATTGTAACTGGCATTGTTAAAAAAGATGTCCCCCACTTTATTTAAAACCACTCTGAGGTCTTGGAAAGTGGCAATGAAGTCTGCTGGGGCCTGTTCTTCACAGAACTGAATAACTCCACCTCTCTCTGCATTTCCTCAGAGGAGAGATGCTCTGTTTTCTGTTCCTGTTGCCCTCTTTTTCAATTTGGTTGGGTGTTCAGTTTTATCTAATGGCAAAATAACTGAAGTAGAGCAATGCAGGGTACAGACACATGAAATGGTGGTGCAGGAACCCAAGGAAGCCAGTCCCAGCTGAGCAGTCAGAGATTTGGTTGTGGGCAGGAGGGGCTGTGGGGGACTCACTGTGAGCCTCTGAGGGGCCCTGGTTTGTGCCCCCCAGCCCACCCTTAGAGGTTTCTGCCATGCAAACAGGGCCAGCTGGGAGGGACTTGTCCAAACCCCATCTGCTGCCTGGCACGCTCAGGCAGACGGGAACTGTGCCAGGGTTACTGCCAGGTTGTGTGGCAGAGAGGGAACTGCAGGACCCAGTGCCACTGCGCTGGCCCTGCTGGGAAGGAAGGTGCCGTCCAGCACACGAGGGGCAGGGCATGGAAGGGTAGACACTGCTCTGTCTCCCTGTGGAAATAAAAGCCTGTCTTGCAAAGGCAAGGACCTATGTGAGTCATTGGAGTTTCCTGAAAGGAAGAAACCCCAGGGACAGAAGGCACCATTTCTAGAGCACTGGCAGGGCAAAAATCCCAGCAAGATATCACAATGAATACATGAGTGGGATTCTGGGCCACATTTGCCTGTGATGGCAAGGTCCTGCACATTGGGCATGACTGGGGAGTAGATGGTCCCATTGTTCCTCTTTCTGGGTCTTGCTAGGAACTAGATGTATCCTGATTGAGTCTCTGAAGCACTGAGCTTGGAAAGTAATGGTTCACTATTCTTTGTGTTTTTTTTTTTTTCCCGGTGGACAGCATCCATTTGTAACAACAGCCAAGCCAGCATCCATCCTGGTACAACTCATCAACTCAGTCAAGAAGAAGAAGGACCCTAACCCTAAACCCTAACCCAAAACCCTAACCCTGACCATAACCCTAACCCTAACTCTAGGAGATGAGAATGTAACAATCATGTCAAGATGTTACCTCTGTTACCAATTTAGAGCAGGATTGTAGAGTAAGGTTGTTGAAGAGTTTTGTAGAATAGGATTATAGATTAGTGTTGTATTTAAATAAAGTTGCTGAAACATCAACTCATTTGGAAGATTCTCCTCCTTCTGACCCCTTCAGAAAATTCAACATTTCCTGAATTACCAGTTGTTTTTTATGGGTGCTAAGTCATATTTATGACTTCATAAGTGAGGAAGGCTCTTCTTCATTCATCTTCTCCAGACCACACTGCCTTTGGAATACCACCTACTGGCTGGTTTTGGCACATCTGTGACACTTCTAGTTGAGGCAGATAGGGCAATGGCATTTTCAGGAAAAAGCAAAGGAGGAGTGGGGCAGCTAAGACATCCTGTGCAGATTCAGGCCTTCAGCTGTGACTCGAGAGCATCTGGGCTTCTGCCACTTGGATTTCGATCCTGAAATGCAATCTCTTTGGCTGGAGGAAAGCCTTGCTCAAGGGAGAAAGCAGAAGGATCAGAGAGGGTGCTCGGGAAGGTCTCCTGTGGTGCAGAGCTGTCAGCGCCTGTGAGGTGAGAGCAGGCCCGGCTTGCCCGGGGTGGAGCCCCAAGAGAGCCCCAGCAGAGGCAGGCTGGAAGGAGGCCCTTGGAGCTGCAAGAGGCAGCAGCCGGGCCCTGGGTGCCTGTTCCTGGGAGCGGGCGAATCCTCCGCTCTCAGAGCCCAGGTGGCAGCTGGCTGCTCCCGAGGGGAAGCGCAGCCGTGCTGGGCACAGCCCAGCCTGGAGGCATTGGCTGTCTGGAGTGTGCCCAGGAGCAGAGAAAGGCCAAGGGCAGCCGAGGGCCGCTGGGCTGCCTGAGGATTCCTCCTCTTCTGCCGGCTGCCCTGCAACTCCTGGCAAAGGTCAGCAGTGTGTGCAGCACTCTGGGCACCAGGGCAGGGAGCTGGGCTGCTCGGCAGGCTGGAGCACAGGGCAGCCTCCTTCCGGCCCGGCCGGCACTTGTGCCAGGGGAAGCAAGGCCAGCGTGAGGCAGGGACAGCTTGGCAGGGCACATCTGCAGGAGCCAGCGCCTCACGCAGCTCTGGGAGGAAGCGCCTGCAATCCTGCAGTTCTGCACTGAGCCAGAGCAAAGGTGTGAGATGCAGAGTGTTGTGCAGAAATATTGAGGCCCACCAGGCCAGCCTGCTTTGTGCTCTCTGGCACACAGCAAGTGCTGTGCAATGCAGCTCTGAGCTGCTGGCAGAGAGGTGTTAGAATAAACAAACTCCTAGATACAATTAAATGGAGACAAAGTCATTTAAGCAAAAGAGAACTTTCTTAGTAAAGATTCAACTGAGCCAGCTGTGTATCTCCTTCTCCTGAGAGCTGAACATACACACAAGCCAAGATAATGCTGCTTTTTATTGCTTTTCCCAGTCCTGGGCCACCCCTGTCCCCTCTCCCTTTAGCTAGGTACTGGGGAACTTCTGTTCCCTTCTGACAGCCTTCTTTTCTGTCCTCTCTCCTCTTCTCCTACATCCCTTTTGGTCTGGGGCTCAACACCTCTCCTTTTCCAGCTCACAGCAACGCCCACCAAAATAACTGGAACAAATGCAAACCATAACTAACACCACCTAGCAGCAACAACTTTCATTCTTTATTCTAATAACTTTTTGGCTGCAGCAAAATATTACCTCCTATCTCCCAGAGGGAATCAGGGATGAGCCTGAGGCTTGTGCTTGGGTAGTGAATTGATTTAGAAGGGAGCAGAAGGGTTTCAGAAGGCAGATTGTGTTTTCTTCAATAATTTCTGAAGGAAAGAGGCAATGCAGCTTCAATCAGCAAAAGCATTTGTTTTTGTGGTGCACTGACGAAATGCTTGTGAGCAATTCCCAGAGAAGGAAGGTGTTGAGAAAAAGTTGAATTGTAACAAATGCTGAATTCCTTTAGCTGTACCAGACAATGTTGAGCCCTCTATTCCCCCAGTGCAGTGATTAATGCATGCAAATGGCTGTCTTAGCCTTGAG